CCCCATTTTTATCTCCCGACGTTGCATTTGCCTTCAGCCTGTCCACGAAACGACCGTTTCGCTCACGTAACAAACGACCATCTTTGGAAGAAGAAGACAACGGCCATGGTTGGAAAAACGGTTTGGACGAGAGGCGACGGCGCCGCGGATACGATTTATCAACGTTTAAGAACGGAGATTAGCTTTCACGCCGATAACGCGAGAGGACACCTCTCCCATTGCTTCCGTTCGAGGAAAAGCACGTAATTTAAACTCGGTTTCAACACGATATTCACGGATTTTCAACGTTTGACCGATGCAATTTTGACAGAAAACGGGGAAAAGAACTCGCGAAGGAGGCATCGCCTCAACTCAGGAAACGTATGATACATTTAACCTATTTGCATGGTTAAGGTACACTCGCCAGAGCACATTTACACACGCGCAATTTTTTCGTCATTATTAACCGAAGCGCGTTGCATTCTTGGATGATATTGCGATAGAAATGACTTCATAAAGAAAAGCTCAAAAGCGCCGTGTCGTTTGTTCATCTCGAAAAGAAAAAGTGAGAAACAGTTTATCAGCGTGATAACTGCAAAGCAGCTTCACACGTCGACCACTTGAAATATTATCGTACCGAATTAGTCTACATTTCTATCGTTATTCCAACAGTATACGCGTACGTAACATAACATCTTTGAGATATCTTGCACAATTTTCATTATATTTTTCTTTTCATTTCTTTCACTGCAGAGCAAATGTACGTACAAATTATTGAAATAACGAACTTTTGGAAAATTTTCTAAATTTCTTAATTTCTTTTCTAAATTTTCGAACTAAATTAACGAACTTTTCTAAATTTTCTAAATTTTCTTAAACGTAACGAGAGAGTAATTGGCGATATCATTCGTTCTACCTCGTGATGTAAATGGGGGTTAGAAACTTGTAGCCTCGGGCCGAAAATATCGGTCGATATTGTCGCGAAAGAACACGACGAACGATATTCGAACCGATTGCGAAGCGTCGATTTTCCACGAAACGTCGATTCGCGGACTCGCTTTGTCCCGAGTGCCGATAGAATGACGTCGATCTTTGCGCAATAAGCGGTATAACTATAAGAGGAAGAAAACAAACGAAGTTGCTTCCCACTTATAAACAGGGAATAATCGTTTTTCCTTACCTGATTCTCTATTGCGCCATCTCCCGAAAATCATGATCCCCGTGATCGACAAACAAACTCGTTTCTTAGCGATTTCCTCTCTCTCTCTCTCTCTCTCTGCTTCTCCGCGGTTCTTCGGCCAACAGTCCTTAGAACGTGGCGATGAAAAGCTCGCGAGAACACGTTTCCCAGCGCGATATCATCTTGTGTGCACAGGCAAGGACGCACCGTTTGGGAAATCGGTAGGCAAACATCACCAACAATGCACCAACAATGATCAAACGGACGACTGTGGTGTCGAGGAACAGCGGGTCGTATCCTTGCTCAGCGACGAGGGGCGAGTTTCACCAACATCGTTGTTATTATTATTCCGACGGCCGTTTGCGAGAAACTGCTCTTCCACAGTTCCTGCCTGGGCGGTTTTTACCGTTTCCCGCGTGACTAACAGGTTGGCCGTAAACGCGAAACCACGACCGAAAGCTTGGCCGATACACTTTTCACTGAAGCCACGGTAGCCGACTGTTCTCTCTTCTCGTAACGAGTAACGGGACGGATCAACCGAACCGGAAAAGGACAATGCACGCAGGAGGGAAGCAGCAGAAAACGGCGGCAACCGATGTTATTCGATGACTTGTTGCGACGTGACCATACGCTTCTCAGTTGCAAAAGAGGAACAGTTTGAAAATATTCCGCAACTCTGTCTGTCTCTCTCTCTCTCCTCCGTGTTGTCGTTCCTTGTCCAAGTATTCGCCCTTGGGGCTCGAAGGGTCTAATATACCGAGCACAAAGAGACCCCGGCCAGTTTCTCCACAGAAATTCCCGCGTAAACAAGTTTGTTGCCCGTTTGTTCGTTGCGCACTTTTTCCAACCGTTGCTACCGGAACTAGTCTCGATGTGTAACGAAAAACTGCGATTTCAAAGGGCAACGATCGAGGAATCGAAGGGGGAGGGGGGAAGGTAGATCATAAAGGGAAAAAGGACGCGGCATGAAACACGATGTTGCTTGTGCGGCGTCTCGCACTCGACTGCGAGGTTCGCCCGTTCAGACCGAAGACCGATTTAAAGCTAAGCCGAAGGCTGCCGTCCGATATCTCGAGCTGGGCCGATTTTCTCGCCAGTTTTCCCGTGATTGCTGCTGAAATTGAAGGTGCGCCGCGCGCCACGGATAAAAACTGACAGGTAATTAACCGTCTCTATGGCGCAGGACAAAAGGAATTGGCAATTGCTTTTCACGCGTCGGAGATCGCTTGGAACGGGTGGGTTAATTCTCAAAATTGAAAAGTCAACGCCGATCGGTCGATACGGTAGAAACGAATAGCAGAATTCGATAAATTCCGATTTCGTGACTGGATCCGATGCATTAAGATACATTAGACCCCCTCGAAAAAGTACCCAGTCACTTTAAGTGCTTCCACTTTCGGTGGAGGATTGTACCCTGTGTCGTGTTCTTGCAATCGATATCTCGGTGCAACGGCAATTATTTCAACCTGTATACTTTGCTTCATATCTGTCGTAACTTTTCGTATTTCTTGAATTTGTATTTCTTGACGTATTTAAAAAAAAGATCGCTGTTGATTGTCATTTCTTTTTCTTTCGCGTATTTGTTGGTTAATTCTTTTTCAAAATTAACGTACTTCGGTCGTTAATTCGAATGTCAAGGTTTAATTAGACCGGTAATAAATTGTTGTTTCATCTTCTTTTTTCATCATTGTTTCTAACACGAAAAAGCGTGTGTATACAAATACACGCGCGCGCGCGCGCGCATACACATACTCGTGTACGTATACGCACGCATACCTGTGACGCCTTTTATGCACAGATTGAAAAGTCCGTCCCCTTCGACTGACTATTGTTTGTTATCTCTGTCTACGCATAGGGGTCGATCTTACGTATTTTTTAAAGGTTCCAAACTATAATAGCTTGAAAACAAAAGACATTGCCATCCAGAATACCTGGAAATTTTTTTATGACACGATTTGAAATTTATCTGAGACAGTAAGAATTTCAGTACGTTGTAAAATATATGCCCTCGTTATGTTGGAAACTGTATGTTTCATACAGGGAAAATATTTCCATGAAACCCGAATACTTTCTTCCTTTTCGAAAAATTAACGACCATAGATTGCTTAGTTTGATTACGACTACACACAAAACCAAATTATACTCCTTTCAAGAAAACTATTACTTTTTAATTATTCGATTAAGCAGTTATTACTTTTTAAAATGTTACAATTATTTATAATTTATAATTATTAAAAATTTATAATTATAATTATATAGCTATATAGATTGTAGTTAGGAAGCATTTTTTTTCTTCGATAAAAATATAAAATTTGGAATAATATATTTGTATATATCTCAAAATAGTTTAAATGATTTTTTTTCTCATACTTTAAATACACAGATCACTTGTTCCAATCATTTTTTTTTTTAGTTATAGCAATATATTTTCTTAATATATTTTTTATTAAAGCGATTGAAATTATGTTCTCAAAGTAAAAACATTTGTGATTTTAGTTTGCATTAACATTTTTATGATGTTTACATAACAATTGTGGTAAAACAATATTGTTTGTGTTAAATATATTTCTTTTCTTTTATAAGGGAAGACGTGACTTAACACTAAAAATCATTCTTTCATTTTATATATATTATAATATTACATTCACATAACTAAAGTAATAAAAAATTGTCTATTACAATATGATTGCAAATGTATGATTTTATTCATCAGGAATGACTTCCAAACCCTGAAAATTAATAAACTTATATCAAATACACATTGTATAAATCAAATTTTAATTCATTAATATGATGTTATATGATAATATAAGAAATAACAAATCATTACATAGTGAAAATGTTATATGGTTACTTACATTCAACTTCCACTGCTCACCATTTAATGTCAGATCTCTAGCAAATCCTACTTTTTCTATCCCACTATTGTAAATTCTTGCATGTTTCTGTAATAGCAAAATATAAAGAAATTAAACCTGACATATATGAGACATAACATTGTTCTACATACATTGAAACAAGCATAGAATATCATGCAATATTACGTAGAGTAAATAATGCATTCTAAAACTAATTGCTACAATAACTACTAACAGTTTTGTAATTTATTTTAAATTCTTGCTTTAGAGAGGAAGTAATCATATAAACTGGCATCTCGTTCCAATGTTCAATTGTATATTCTTATACAAATGTAATATTGAGGTTATGTTACAGATATTACTTACTTTTCCTATGAAAAATTGATTTAGGTACGGTGAAACGTGAGCTGGCAATGCCAATAATGTTCCTATTATCACTAACGATGGAATAATGTTAAGCCACATCTTTAGAAAATTGTTTAATGTGTATAATACGTTTAAATTTCCTAGACAGTTACGTGACGGTCTAGTACTGTGAACGTAAAACGCATTCAAGCGCAGAAGTAACTTACGCTTACGAATTATTTAAATAGCTTCAGTTGTATTTGTTGTTGTACGTTTATTAATTAAAAAAATATCACGTTTACATCATTTTTTTTATCTTCGACTTGGATATTAAACAAGAACTATTGAAACCAATGGGTTCGAAATATAAAAACAGTCAAATTGTTTGACTTATTATTGAAGAAATTTTATTATTGTAATAAATTTCGAGTTGTCTGATAATAAATCAAATTCTTCTCTTTATAATATTACATTAAATACGTTTTAAAATGCATATCTAGTTGAAATTTGAAAAACAAAATATAAATTTAATTGCAACTTAATATTAAGAGTTATAAATAATTTACACTGATTAAACAGTAATATGTAGTTATTAAATAAAGCAATCATATGATGAATACAGATGAATGCAATTATTCGAAGCAAATAAAAGACTAAACGTTCAAAATTTTTTAGACTGTTAAATTTATTTTTTTCAGTTATGTAATTTTTAATTAATAAAATGCGACAAAAATCTGAGTTACTTTATTCAAATTTGCTTAGAATAATATAGAAACGATTTTAATGAAAGTTTGAGAAAATATATATAGTAAAAATATATAATCACGTGATAGATATTATTTTGAAAATTTGTTTTGCTTATTATATTAAAATTCATATCTCTAAATATCTTTATATATTACTTTAAACAAATTTTAAGCTGTTTCGTCTTCCCTTTTCGTAACGTCATGATATGTTATCACAACGTAAACTTATGTATAACAACATATTCGATATAAAATATCTGTCTAGATTTAATAAATTTTCTTTCATTCGTTTAATCAAATTGTTCCGTGACAACGATCGTTGAACACTCTCTAATGGTATTTAAACTTGTGCATCAAAATGGTAAGTGCCATGGCAAACATTTCTTTTTAATGAAGAAAAAAAAAGAACATTAAATTATTTAGTGCTTTTGTGGCAATAACAAAATAATGTTTTAAGATGATGTTTAAGATGAGCAAACAAAATAAACATAATTTCATATATGCATATTTTAGGAGAGTTTAAGAAAAAACTTCAAACCACCAAAGATGATGCTGAAACTATATTCCCTGCTTATCCTAATACTGGATCTGGTGACACTGTCATTTAAAATATTTTTTTCTATTATAATTGCATTATATAGAATAATTAGACCTCCTCCATTGAAAAATCTTAATGGCGAAGTTGCAATGGTAATGAAATTTCACAGTTGTGTTTATAAAGAATCGTTTGATATCAAATATTAATTTTCTGATTTTAGGTTGTTGGAGCAGGTCGAGGCATAGGTAGAGAATTGGCAATTCATTTGTGTAAACTTCGTGTTAAAGTTGCTTGTATCGACATCAACAGAGAAACTTGCGATACTACTGTACACTTGGCTCTATCTAGATCAGTAGGGATTGCTAGAATGTATATTTGCAATATAACAGATAAGAATGAAGTGAGCACAATATTTATAAAATATGCGTTTATATTATACAACGATTGTTGGATTGATTTGATTGTAAATAAAATATAATAGGTAGCTCATGTAGTGGATATTATTCAATCAGAATTGGGTAAAGTTACAATGCTTTTCCATTGCTGCGGTATACCAAGTCCTAAAGTATTACTTCAGGATCAACAGAATCAACCTGAAATAAGACATACAATTGATCTGACGATTTTAAGTCATTTCTGGGTAAATATTTTTTGTATGATGCATAGCTTGTTATAGTAATTACAAATTTTCACTTTAAATTTTGCTTTCAGTTATTGGATACGGTTTTACCATCTATGGAATGTGCTGGTAAAGGACATATAGTAGTTCTGTCATCAGTGGCTGGCCTTTCTGGTACTACCACAGGAGGAAGCAGAATTCCTTTATCCGCTGCACAATTTGCAGTTCAAGGATTAGCTAAATCGTTACAAACTGAATTCAGACATTCAAATAGTAATATTAGAATTACTCTAGTTCATGTTTATCCATTCATTGTGGGCGCAGAAGTAAAGAATGATATTCGTTTTAGGTAAGCATTAAAACGATGATATTTGATTTGATTCAAAATTTATTTTTCACAATTCTGGCAGAATACCGAGTTACTTTGGCACAATGCCTGCCAGAGAAGCAGCTAAACAAATTTTAGATGGAGTTCGTCGGAATTATGTGGAATTTAGTGTGCCTGGATATATTCTTTACTTAGGCAATATTTCTAGGTAAATTGAACGTTAATATCACCAAGCCTATAAAATCTTGTTTATAATTAATATTTTACACTTTTAGAATATTTCCAAAGGAAGTATCATTTATGGTGCGTGATTTGCTAGACACTGGTGTTGATTTTGGGTAATATTTAATTTTCTCAATCAAGTACGAGAATATATTTTTATTATAACATTTTTACAATATTAGCTATAATATACGTTGCAAGATATTGCGTAAGGAATTGTTTATTATTTTTATAATGAGAAATGAATATTTTATTTAGTTTTCGTATATAATTTGATTTATAAAATATCTCTCCATATAGATACTTGTAACTTGTTTCATGGTTTGATACAAAATTTTACATGTATTTTTACTTTATTTTTACATATTCTTACATTTATATAAAACGAAATATCTTACTTAATGAATAAATAATTATACGAGGCGCGTATTAGATATTGTGTATTTGTGGCACAATTGAAGTATCAAGTAATATTTTAAATAGATTTTATACTTACGTTTTACGTACAATACATGTGTAAATACAAGGTGTAAAATGAATAAAATCTATTAAACAAGTGCTATTCACAATGTAAAAATAATTTATGTACACGGTATTGGTATTATGACGAATAGCAAAATATACAGGAAACTATAGTCCAATTTTTAATATTGTACATAATTTATATATACACAAGTTTGTAGCACGTATTATTTTCTGAACTTTTGTCCACAATTATGTGCATGTTTTACAAAATCACTCAGATATTAATAAACAGAATGAATATTCAACTATTAATAGTAATGTTACTTTTATGAAAATAAAAAAACTCAATCTATATCTCATGGGATTGGAAATACACTTATTTAAACATAAATAAAAATATACTGTGTAATGAAAATAATATATATATATACATATATACGCAGCAAAATTCTATTTACAAAATAGAATCAAATAGAGGTTTGTCATAATTGTAAGATTAATTAAATTTTCACTAAATTTTAAGTAAAAGAAATATTTACATATAATGTTTGACTTGATAAATATGTGGATCTAACGTTTCAGATTACTAGATATTTCAGACATGATTGGACATAAAAAAAAATAATTTATAATTTACAAGGTAAATTCATTAAAGTTGGGACAATCTGTTGATGATGATTCAAATCCCAACACTGGAATGAGTTTATGCTAATCTAAACCAGGCGGAGCTGGTTCTGAAACATCAGTTTCCATAGTATCTGGTTTTTGTTCGATTGGATAATCACCGGGTGGTGCCTGCAAGAAATTTAAGGAAAAACTATTTGGATCAGTTCACATATTTATTTTTTTTTTTCGTGATAATATAAAAATCAACTCTTTATATACAAGTATTTTTACTCACAATATCAAATTCATCATGCATGTCGCAAAGTGATTTACCCTGGATTACGTCCATTATTGATTGCGGAATGTGCGCTTTCTGAAATGTTACATCACTTTTGTATTAAATTGTTTGCACTTTTAATAAAACACAAAACATAGAACAATCACATAAAGTATATATTGATAATAAATATACCTGATTTTCGGCAAAGGCTTCGACATGCGCCAATAAGGGTGCTCGTAAGTTACTCGCCATTTTTAATGCTTCGGCCAATTGTGTTGGCGGAAGTTGTAAAATAACCGCGAAACTCTGCGGTTGCGTACGCTCGCAACATTTTACAAAACCCTCCCAGACTTTTGGTTGTTTCCAAACTTGCTTGAGAATTAATCGTTGAAGTATGTTCATAACAAATCCACTTAACCTAGGATATAATGCTAAACTTTGTATCACTGTACGCATGAGTAATGTAGGAAGCGGTGTCATCTCCATAAGATGTTGCATCACAACAGCAACAGTTTCTTGCGTATATATCTGTTTTTCCGCAAAACATAGAGACGTAGCTGTAAATTAATGTTATAAAATATAAAATTTGAATAGTTATAAATGTTATAAAATATAAATTTGGATATCATTTTAAAATAAACTATGATTTCCTATAATTTTAGGAATTCTGTATACCGTACCTTTTATAATCGTTTTTAATTCTGCTTTGCTTGGATCTATATTATGTAAAGCTATTAACAATTCAGCAGGTGTGATAGGAGACGTATGAGGTACACCGCTTTCATTATTATGGGTGCCCAATAGTCTATTAAATACCTATAAAAAAGAAAACATTGCCATACAAAATCACGATACCGAACTTTATTTTAAATTTAGGTAATATTATTCCTTATTATTCACCTCTTTAACAACAATGGGATTTAACTTTATGAGTTTTGGAAGAGCGGCTATAACTTCCTTTTTCGTTAAACCATTTAAAACTGGTATTAAGAATCGAACATCGGAAACTCTGGTTTGATAAAGTTCTCGTACCCTTGCTACTAATTCTGCGCTTGGCGCGGCTGAAAATAAAAGAAATGTTGCATATTATATTAACATTTCAAAAAACGTAACATGATTAAAAATGTAAATATATATACATTTTTCTGTAAGGATATGAATAATTCTCGTAACTAGTGTTTCCGCGCCTTTAGGACAATTTTCAACTAATGCCAATAATTGTGGACTGCCCATTCCTAAAGATCGTACAGGTCCTTCTACCAGTCGAAGAACCATACGTTTTACATCGGCACTCATCGATGTATAAACTCTCGCCAATCTAGCGAAACAGAATTAATAGAAATTTGTATTTAACATAAAATTTGTATTTACTAAGCAAGTAATATTTACTCGTGAATTAAATCTTGGTGTTCACTCAATAGAGCAAGATACAATCCAAGGCAAGCTCTTGTAGTTGACTCAGTCCATTGAGTTTCCACTTGCGGTCTACCTCGATCTTGTCCGAAAACGATCTCAGGTGGTGTATGTAATCGTAAAAAACCTAAATAAAGTACCGCGTACTCTTCTATGAGTTTACTTAATTCGGGACGACTATATAGTTGACAAACTAATTGTATAGCAGCTTCCCTTATCTATTTATGAACAGAAAATTAAAATACTGAAGACATACATGTATCAGATATGATATCTGGATTACAAAAGTACCTAATTACAACTTACTGTATTGTTTTCATGACCAGTATGACATAATAATACATTCAGAAAAACCAATTGTTTCGTTGGCCTACGAATAACCATTTCTTTTAATAATTGTAATGGCATCAATCCTCTTGTTTCGTCCGAAGATACCATTTTCAAAGCCTCAACTGCATCTTCAGTGATTAAAGGAGCTTCTAAGTAAAGCCTTTTTAAAATACACGTATTATTAACATTACATATTTTGTTATCAAATACAATATTGAAATTACATATTACCTATATAGCAATGTGTCACGGTCTTTGCCTTGAACTAAATCTATTGCAGATACTAAAGTACATAATAAGAAATTGTACGCTTGATGCGGAGCTTCTTGAGGCTTCGTACACAATGTAGTTCGTCTCTGGAAACCCTGAAGCAATGCGTATTCTTCGTACAACCAACCTAAAGCTAAGTCTAAACGATTTCTCATATCGTCAGTAATATAACGTAATACTGCTTCTTTAATGTATGGGTTAAACGTCGCAGCTAGGGTAGTTAGAATTTTTGATCTAATGAGAAATGACAAAAAATATTCTGTTTCAATCCAAAACATTTTCAAATAAATAACTCATACATAATTCATAAGGTGACGTACCTTATGGCTGCTACACCACCAAACACAGCTGTTTTCTCAGAAAGTAAAATTCGATTTACAGCCATCAGTAACATTTTCTCTTTAATTTCTTTTGACAATGGTTTCGTAACTTCAGACAGTTTTAAAGCTTTCAAACGAGTCCTAGTTTTTGCGAGCGATTTTTCATGTGCCTCTAGAGATGCTTTTGCCTCTTTCTCTTTCTCTCTGTCTTTTTCACGTTTTCGCTCTCGTTTCGCTTCCGCTACGCTGATAGTTGGATTTTTCACTAAATCTTCCATCACGGCATCTTCATCTTTAGTATCTTTTTTCTTCTTTGTTTTAGCTTGCCTTATTTGCGCTGCTAGTAATTTAGCAATCGTGTGTCGTTGAATATTTATATCGGTCGTTGAAGAAGGTTGATATTCTCTTTGAAAAATTGTTGTCATTGTATCTGGGACCCACGCCTGTTAATGAAATAGATTTAATAGGAAAAAAATGAAAGTAGTGAATGCTGGCTATTTTATATAAAAATATATCGACCATGCTATCCATGACTAAGTCTGTGGCAATTTCCACACTTAATCTCTCAGCAATGAAACTTTCTGAAAGTTCGACTAATTCTGGTAATTTTGAGGTAAGTACTAAATTGGATACAATTTCCGATTCATCTGGTATTAAGGAAGTTTCGATTTTAACACGCTTTGCAGCAGAGGATGCAGCAGCCTCCTAAAAATCATATAAATTTCGAATAATAGAATTATCATTAGTTTTTGTGATAAATTAATTGTATATTTACTTGTTGTCGTTTCTTCATACGTCGAATATCTTCTGGTTTTGGATAAGCTTTAACAATCTCTTGTTCTTTCGCTCCTAGCTGAGTCAATTGCTTAGCTATTGCAGGTGCAAATTCTATGCTAGCTGGATGCTTCATCAACCCTAATAGAGTTAATTTTAATTGTTTCTGAACGCTAGTTACTTGAGAATCAGATAATGTGGGTGGTAAATCATGTTGTAACCTTTGCAAAGCTATAAATTGATATTTTTAAATTACAAATTTAATATGATTAATGTAATGAATTTACTGCTGAACGTTTTGTGTACCTTGTATTACACCCGGCATGAACTGAGGTCTTGTTTTAGCAATCAATGCTAAAGATCCCATACATGTCATTAAATTAACGCTACTGACATGTGGAGACCCATGAAATTTGATTAATAAATCCATCACATCGTTAGCTTCTTCCTCTAATTTCCGTCTACGTGCTATTTTTAATGTTAGTGGAATATCTTCTAAAGAAAAATCATCTGGTTTTTTGGGGATATCTGGATCAGGATACGTTTGTATCAAAACAACACCTTCAAGAAATTTCACAGCTTGCGTCCTAATACTGAATGTAATGAAGAAAACATTAGAAATTTAATCAACATGAAGCTAAAATTTGAAGACTTCTCATACCCATCATTATCGCTGTCAATCATGTCTATAATTTGAACTTTGAGAGCACTAAGTTGGTTCCATGCTACTTCCATTTCTGGTGTGACTGTAATAGCACTAGATATCCATTTCAATGCAGCTCTTAATATCCTACCACTAGCTCTAAGAGCTCTTTTAGCAACAGCTGATGATTCATCAGAAACTAAACGTAAAAGTGTCTGAACTACGCGTGGAATTACTTCTGGCTGTTTTACTCTGCAAATAAAGTCCAAATGTTTTATCCATGATAAAAGCAATATTGCAAAATATTACATTATAGATTCTAGTAATGATTATTTGATGATTACCCAGTTTCTTCTATGAAACCTGTAATTGTTTTTCTAACTTCTGCATTTCTATCTAAAGAAAACTGCAACGCTTCGTCCAAATATAATGGAAGTAATTGTGGTTCCTTGTTTATCAATATTTCTTGAACTTTGCATAAATTTGCAACTTTTACATCTTCGCCGGGGCTTAGTGAAGCCTCATTCAACCATTCAACTATCTGCAAGACCAAGTCAAAATATGTATTCATTTTTTTGTTTATATAGCAAAGGCAATTGAAATATTTTACAACTGGAAATTTCTCAGCTTTTTGTAATTGAAATTTTGCTCGAATAATTGCCATAAGTATTAAATTATATGTATACATATGTACTATAAATGCTTATTTTGTACTCATAAAATGCATCTGCGAAATGATAAGGTTAATACACTGACCAAATCACCCGGTCCCTTTTCCGGCTCTGTTCTTCTATGTATTCGAGGATCCATTCTATACTGATAAATGAATCATCTAAAGTTAAATGCAGGTAATGATTATTCAAAAAAAAAAGTTGCCCGAAAATAATTAGTCAAAGTTTCGATATGCTAGTATATATACGCTCCTTTGCAGATTTCTCCCTACTTAAAAGATAGACAATCTATATCTTTGATTTATAATTTAGCAAAGAATTTGTATTTTTCTATAAAATCGTTTTTTCGAGTATTATGTTCAAAATTTTAATCAAAAAACGATAAAAGCTGTCCCAATATCGAACGAAATCGTTTGCGTTGCCATCTTGGCATTTTTTCCTGGCGCTATAATCGTTCTGTGTTGACAAATTGAAGCGGGAATTTCAAGATTTTATTGTATCTTTTACTAATTTCTCTATTACTATTGGTACTATACCATGCCAATATAATTTTTAAGCAGAATATATCGATAAGTGTAAGCATAAATAATAGATTGAAATAAAATACTCAAATCAATTGAAAGCTTATAAATAAATTCGATTTTTTATAATGACCTTTCAATATATACAGGATGTCCTAAACTTAAACTACCAAACTGCGAGGGCTTGATGTACACATCAGAAAGAAAAAAAAAGTTATATTAAGTTTGCTAGGAAAGGCCTTGTTACAGAGTTATAAACAAATATTGTATGTATAAAATAACTACGCATTTTTCTTTATCATTTGATTTTTCACTTATGGAATGGTTTAAAACAAAAGATTGACTCGATAGAAGTAACGTCGTACGGAGAATTAGTGCAAAGAATTAAAAACGTAATTTTACCGGAACTTGGCGAAATTCTCAGGAACTTTACAGTGTTATTAATTCTATTATTCACTGATATCAAGTTTGATGGAATTAAAAATTATTTTTATTATTATAATTAATGATATGAAAAAAGATATATACTTAACAACACCATCTGTGTAGTATGATGAAAAATGTACCGTTATTTACATACATATTTCATCGTTATAACTCTATAACTCTATAACTTTATAACAAAGTGTTTGGTGTCGAATTTTATATAACATTTTCTTTTTATGTGTAAATCAAGCAGTTTCGGGACACCCTGTATATATATGTATGTATAACAAGGAAAACTAGTAGATATAGATTACACGAATAAAATTTCAGAGAAATGATATTGTTTACAAGAAGTTTTGATACTGGTAAAATTCAGTCTTACTTGAGACACAAAACTAGATAAGATTAAAAATTATATTTAAACTCAAAATGTCAAAGATCAAATAGATCAATATACGTGTACTTTATTTAATCACGTAGATGATAAAATTGTTTTGATTAAATGAAGAAACGTAACTTGCTCTAGTGGAATTTATTTGTACATATGTATTAATTATTAATCATTGTGTTAATCCTTCGAAGTTCATTTCCATTTCGCGAGTTAGTGTAACTTGTGTATCACGCTGCCAAGTGACATGATTTCAAGCTTTTATGAAAAGATTGTCGGTACGTCTTCTACTGTGGAGTCAAATCAGCAGAAAATTCTTTGTATTGGATTAACCTGCTTAGATATTGTACAAACGTGCAAACAATATCCTGCGGAAGATTCCGATCAAAGGTAAGACATATCTTTATATACGCGCAATTGTGCATTGTTATTGATTCACTGCTTATGTTAATCAGCTGATATTAATGAAGACGTAAATAACGTATATCCAATTTCTAATACCGTTATCATTTTTAATTCATATTTATAATAACTTTAATCTTTGTAACGAATATATCTTTTAGTAATTGCAATAGTATTGATAAGTATGTGTGAACTTTTCCTTTGTGATTTACAGGTCTGTAGATTGTAGGTGGCAAAGAGGAGGTAACGCATCTAACACTTGTACAGTTCTTTCTCAATTGGGAAGCTCATGTGAATTTTTTGGTACTTTAAGTGCCGAAGAACATTTAAGCTTTTTGCAAAATGATATGCAAAATTACAACATTGACTTTTCTCATTGTCCTATGATAGAAAATATAGGATGTCCAATATCTACTGTTATTCTGAGCCTAAGATCTGGTTCTCGTACAATTTTACATCACAATCCAAACTTGCCAGAGTTAACGTTGAAGAATTTTGAACAATTACATTTAGAAGATTACAGTTGGATTCACTTTGAAGGTAGAAATTTGATCGAAGTATTATCTATGATGCAATGTGTGGAAAATTATAATAACATGTTGAATTATAGTCAAGAGACTAATAGTAAAGAAACTAAATCAAGTCATGCACCCATTACCATTAGTGTAGAGTTAGAACGTCCACGACAGGAATTGTTAGATTTACTGCCTTATGTTGATGTAGCATTTATATCTAAAGATTTTGCCCAAAGCAGAGGATACGATAATATGAGTGAAACATTAAAGAACATTAGCGAAGATGCCAAATCGGGGTATGAGTTTATGTAAAAAAATTACTTTGAACTTTTACGAGTGAAGAGAAAATTCAGGTACTATAAAATAATTTTTTTTCTAGAGCAACTCTTATATGTGCTTGGGGCGACAGAGGTGCTATGGCAAGAACTCCAGATAATATTATAGTACAATCTCCTGCATTTCCACCGCAGAAAGTTGTGGACACCTTAGGTGCTGGAGATACCTTCAATGCTGCAGTAATGCATTTTTTAAATAAAGCAAAATTGGAATTCACTAGAAGAAGAAAGTTAAAATCATATGAAATGAATATTGCCTTACAGAAGGATGTAGAAATAAAGCGCAATATTAAAATGAATTATAACATTGAAAGTTTAGAATGCAGCCATACAGAATTTATAACACAAAATGTCTTGCAAGCAGCTGTAAGTTTTGCTTGCCAAGTAGCTGGTGCTAAAGTCGGTTTGAAAGGGTATAATAAACTAGATGAAATTTTTAAGGATACACATCAAAAAGTAAATTAAGATACTGCGTTGAATTACATTGTATATAAATCTTATAGAAAATAAATTGTACTTGAATGAAGTTATTGATCTTTTAGGAAAAAAGTTTGAAAAATTTTGTAAAAATTAAAGTTCAAAATATTTTGTTTACTTAACATTTATATATTTTATACATAAATATTTATAAATATCTTATCACTTGCATTTTGATTATTATACGAATTATCATTATGATTAGATCCTTATAAATTATCCATAACAAATAATAAAAATTGAAGATCCATGTGTACATAATTGAAGATTATTTATATAAGATATCATTTTGAAAGTATCATTATGAATTATAAAATAAACACTTTTTTTATATAACTTATTTTTTATATAACAAGAATATTACATATTTAATTTGGTATATCAACACCAGTTTTTATAAAATCTCGCAGATGTTCCCTGCATGAAGATGGCAGACACCTGAAATGAAGAAAAATGTTATCAAATGAGAGATTTGTAATATCATATTATCTATATACCTTAGAAGAGAGTTAATATAAAGCCAATATGTAGGAATGGAAATTTCTCTGATATTTTGCCGTTGCGCTTTAACTATTGTATCAACTGCCTCTTTTACTGAAATCATCCGATTTATTTGGAACCTGATA